AGTGGGTTGCCTTTCCGCGGGAAGGTTAGCCACTCGAGAACTGATATCTGACATGCAGGGCTTTCACATTTATGGTTTTGAAGCAGCTTGGGGGTCACAATGGGGGTCAGTTTTTCTCCTGTCATTGAAGCACATAAGCCAATAGTCATGCATTCTTTTGATTGCTTGCCATCTGCACAGTCACTGCCCTTCACATAGTAAGTTTTATTTGTACTGCTGTGTCGGAAAAATAAACCTGTTTCATCCATATTGAAGATATCCTGGGGTCTGTAGCCTTTACAAACTGTAGGAAGTTTTTCTTTCCAATCAGAAACAACATTTCGGTCCACATCACCACTCTCTCCACTGGTTGTGCCAAGAACAATGTTGTGTCTTTTCAAAAAACTTTCTAACCAGCCATTAGAAGCATGAAATGTGTCAATCTTCAGGTCAGAAGCAAAACATAAAGCTTGTGCTTGGATTAGTGGGCCGTTGACAGGAACACGTCTAGTGGTGACATCTATGAACCATTTCCAGTTCAACTCATTAATTTCTTCATTGCCGGTCTTTCTAATTTTTCTCTGGCGTTCAGCCGGGGCATTATTTTCATAGTCATTTAAAACTTCAGCTTTTCTTTTGACAAGTCTTTGAATTTGGTCTTTGCTTACACCAAAAGTTTACTTCTGTTTACAATAACTGTGCTGTAAAAGATATCTCTGTTGTTTCAACCAAATTTGCCACCATGTCAAACCAAGGCAAAAAGACTATAAAAACACTGACACTTGCCGACAAAGTCAAAGCCATAGAAATGTATGACAAAGTACAAAGTTCCCATAAAGTGGGGGAGGCAAACCGTGGGGGCTCTTTCTAGCAATATTCAACCTACTGTTGATGCTTTTGATACAGATGATGATCACAGTGGTCAACATGAAAGTACCATGGAACAAACAGAGACTGAGCAGAAACATGAAACAGGAAGCAAATTCAGTGATTTCGAAGAATACAGTGACCTCGCAAACTGGCCCATAACAGTTGATAATGATTTCATACAGAACTGCTTAATGCAAGACATCGGGTTTTTTTCAAAATAAAAAACCAGATGATGTATATACCGAATCAACCAAGATTTACAAGGATCAAAACAGAAGTTTCTCAAACAAATACAGTCTAACCTGTTAACCTCTCCACCTCCACAACAGCATCACCTGTTTAAGAGCGTCAGTTTTCGTAAGTACCAACTCAATTTGTATGTTATTTAACCTTTATAAGAATGCCACCTGGCTAATGCCGCCAAGCGCCAGGCTAATTTAGCCCCAAACCCCATTCATCCCCTGTGAAAGAACACCAGTTCCCACCATAAATATTGATCGGTATTCCTCGACAGTGTAAATTTCCCGCTCTGTCAAGACTAATTGCCTTGAGAGCCAATCACTGCTGTATATATATATATTCTTTTTTTTGTAAATTCATCTTATTTTTCTGATATAAATAGCCAAGCTTACATTTAAGATTAAATCATTTCTCTGACTGTACACTATTGCTGGCATCACTGGTATTTGCTTGGCTTGTTTCAACTGTAGGTGTTGACAAACTTGACATTGTAAAATACTTTGATAGTTTGACATTTAAAATTTTTGTCAGATTGCTTTTCCTTGAGTTTGCATTTTTGGTATCCACTTAAGTACTTTCTTGAACTCATGGCTACT